GGGGTTCAGATCACCAGCGGCACCATCAAAGCTCGGTCGACCATTTGCAACGCCGTCGCCACCGGGCGTCGAGGTCGTGATGGCCAGCGCAGGGGCACCTTTACCGCTGGCGAATGGTGCCACCCCGTACGAATGGTTGGATGCGACACTTGGAGGGCGGCCAAATGCTGCGGGCGCAAACAGAGGGGGGGGCAATGTGGAGGGCGATCCCAGGCGAGAAGGTGTACGATGGTACGCCCGAGACAGGGGACGAGAGGCAATCTGTTCCGACGCAGTGCTGATGGGTGATGGACCAGCTGAAACCTGCTTTGGCACCACGCCAGAAGCTGGGATGGGCTCTCGGGCAGCTTGGATGGTGGCCGATGCTACTTCTTGGCCGGTCGTCGGCGCGGTGGGCACAGCAGTGTGCACAGCGGTAGCTGGCGGATTGGTCAAGGACATCGATTCAAGGACCGGTGAAAGCCTTGTTGGCTCTCCGGGTCCCGGTTCCTCGGCGTCTTGTGGAGATCTGGACAGTACTGGCGTCGCACCAGACTGTGGCGAATCATCCTGGTCCACCGATGGAGAGGTGCGCATAGCGATGGTGGGGGATACCGGGTCGTCTGTCATGGTGGGGAAATACGCAGCGCGTTCGGTCATCTTTTTCGGGCTGAACGGGGAGGTCTGACTGTCGGTGTCATTCATAGTCCCTGTCGTGTCCGGTGGAGCATCTATCGTGGTCCTTCGCCGAGGTGTGACTGTACTTCCTGAGGGATCCGTAGGCTGACGGGCATGAACACTTGCCGAAATAGAACGTCGAGGTTTCATGGCCACGGGGTTGTATTCTTCGACAGTATGCACCCAATATCTCAACCCATCGGCCAGTCCGAAAGGATTGGTCACAGGTGACTTTCATCAGTATTGAAAATGATTACGGATCAAATGGACTCACCTCTCCTCCGCTCGCTACAGCTTCCTGGGTGCTGGTTATCCGGGCTATGACCCATTCCCTGTTGACAAGAGTCTCTTGCATGGCGGCGTCCACTTTCAGGAAGTTGTGCGGAGCGGATACTTCGGTCAGCACTATATCCGGCAGAATTCGGCTTACCGTTGAAGCAGGCCCACGCTTTCGCAGCTGCATTTCGAGTTGGTAGGAACAGCGCCTGTGTGTCAATTTCGTGAACGATTTAGGATTCGCATCGAACCCACCAGATCGCCCTCTCCAAAGTTGGTGAACGAGATCCTATTCCTCGCAAGGTCGCGGTAGCTCTTACAGCTCTTGCCCCATTTCTTCACCAGAGTGATGGTCCTTTGCACGGCCTCGGCGAATTGCACCAAGTCGAACGCCTGCGCCGTGGTGAGAGAAGAAATCATCACAGCTGCCGAATCTTTCATCTCTCCGTTGCTGCCCTTGCCATTGTCCTCGGCGGCAAGATCCTCCACACCTTCCTCGTCCGGTTTCTCTGACTTGGGCTGCTTCGAACGCAAGTATGTCGACGAGGACCCGGAGATGGTGGACGACGCGTTGATCGTCTTGAGCAGCTTCATGCACGTCTCATGGTACATGCCGACTAGGCCGACGGCGTCTTTGGCGATGTCGTGTTGCCTAATGTAATTCTTGTTGGATTGCTCGGCGCCGTCTTTGACCATTGCCAACTCGTCTGCCAATACAGTCTCCTTTTGTTGAGCCGTGCGAAGTTGGGCTTTGACGAATTGCAGTTCGGCTTTCAAACCATCCGCTTGACGAACAGCTTGATTTCTCGCGGCCGAGAGCTTCTCTTGCATTTCGTTGCGAAGGTCCTCGAGTTGCTTTGTGAGCGTGAGATTCTGATGCTCCAGGACGGCTCTGTCTCCATCGGCCTCGGCAATGTGGTCCCGCATCATTCGTTCCGCTTCCGCTGATTGGTTCTTTAGCGCCGTGTCTCGTTCTGTGCGTGCCTGAGCAAGCTGCTCAGATGTCGCTTCCAGTTCGGCGCGCAGTCCAGCGATCTGCGATTCCAAGGAGTTCCGTTTCACCTGCTCCTCTGACAACGCCTTCGAAGACTTTGACCGTTCTTCTTGCAGCGACTGGAGCTGATTTATCAAAGTCTGTTCGGCGTTGCGTAATCCGTCCACGTCGAGTAACGCCTCTTGCAACCGAACGCCAAGATCGGTCGCTCGATCTTTCTCCTGCGCTACCTCAGCTTGAAGTGCAGTGACGAGCTCCAATTGGTCCTCCTGCTCTCGGTCGCGTTCTTCCTGGACTCTCGCAGTCTCTTCTAATTGCGCCGACAAGGCTTGGCGAGCAAGCATCTCCTCTTCCAGATCGTTGCGCAGCCGAACAAGCTCATCTTGTAGTTCCCCTTGTCGAGTCTGCATCATGTTGGTCGATTGTTCATGACGGTCCTGCAGGTCGCTAACGTGACGATCATGCGAGGCTTTCATTTCAGCCATTTGTCTGGAATGCTCTTCCCGTTCCGAAGCGACGGCGCGGAGTTTCGCAGACAGAGTCAGGGAAGTCTTGCCCCGGTCGGGGTCACGCGAGAAGACTGACTTCAGCGGCAGGCCTTACCAAGGCATGAGACTTACCCTCCGCTTCCATCAGTCTGTCCAACTCGTCCGCCCTCAAGTCCATCTTGCTGATCAACAATTCCAGGTTCTCTTCGAGGAAGCGAACGGGTCCAGGATCGCCTTGATCAACAGCCTTGAGGATGTCTGGGTCGTTCTTGATTGATTCGACCCAGTCCAGCAATGCTGCCGGTCAGAGAAGGCTGACAGCTGCCCAGAGATCAGACTTACCTTCCACGTCTCGCCTGTCAAGCATGATGTTTTTGAGGACATCCAAACCGGTGTGCACACTGACATCCGCAGTCACCTTCATCGAGTCGTCCAACGCGGGAACGGAGAATGGAATATGGCTGATAACGTCCTCCTTGACAGCCTGTCGTCGAGCCATCTCTCTCGCAGTAAAATTGATCAATGTCTCCCGCAGTCTTCCGACCCAGTCGTTCATGAATTGACCAAACTCTTTCCGCCTGACAACCTCCACAACGGTAGCCGCATAGGCGAAAGGCAGATGGCGAAGTCGGTAAAGGTGTGGGAAAGCTGCCTTGGTGGATGCTGAGGACGACAGGTCCGTCTCGAGCTGGTTGACTTGAGGCGCAAGATTCACCACGGAGATTTGGAAGTTGGCTATCTGTCGCAGATGGGCGTGCAGGTCAAGAGTAATGTCATTCTACTCGGTCAGCCGTGTTGTCTCACGAAAGCACCGAGATGGAGTGTGACTGACCTTGACATTCGTGATCGCCACGACTTCTTCCCGCATCGCATTGTCGAGCTCGACAATCTCCTGCACGATCCCCTCGCCGCCTACTGAAACGAGAGACCGAGCTCGGTTCAGAGCTAGCTCTACTCGTTCCAAGGTGTCCTCAAAGTCCTGCCTTACGGCGATGGCCCGTTCTTCCGCTGACCGCCTTTCAATGTTGGCAGCGTCCCGCAACTCTGTGACCGACGACACAAGCGCGTTCCACCGCTCGACGTGGCTCTCTAAGTATGAGCTGTGCGCGAGTGGTGCAGCGCACGCTCACTCACCATGAGCTGTTCGGCAAGTTTCGCGGACTTGCTCCATCTTCCTTGGATTCACGAAATCCGCCATAGTCCCCTTATCCTTGTCCCGCTCCCGCTTCCTTAGCTGCTCGTGAATCGCAATCTTGCTCAACATAGCCATGTCCCCTCTGGACCCTCGGATCAGGTCGTCCTCCCTGTCGAGTTCTTGCTCCGCTTTCGGCGCAAATGTCTCAAATTCCGCAATGAAGGGCTCAAGGTGGTAGAAGAGATTAGCGTAAGCGATGGAAAGAGCATTGGACTGGGCCGAGAACAGAGACTGCAGGTGAAGGATATGATCGGCAGCGGCAAGGAAGGGTTCGCATATGAGGTCCACATCGCCGATCGCAGAGACTGGAATCAGCGTTCTCTTCATTATCTCAGAAGACAGTCTGGCTAGCTCTGATGAGGAGCAGGACGGAGGGTGGGAAAGGATATCAGACTCTGCTTACGAGGCAGCTGCGGTGGAAGCTGGATTTCCTCCATATACCTAGCAGCGCTTGTTTCCGCATCGACGAAGAAAGTCTCTCTATCGAAGAGGTATACCACCGTTCGAGTCATCTATGTCTTAGCTGAAAGTCCGACAGTCCCCCAGAGTCTGGCAGGCATCAAAGAGGCAAGTGTCGTATGACTCACGCTCGATGTGCCGCCTTCGCCGCCCCGGTCCCATGCTTCTTCTAGCACATCGCTCTTCAGCTCCCTCCCATCTGCTAAGAACAACAGCACGTTCTGTGCAACAACTCCACTCTCCCTTGATACTTCGTCGTAGAGATGCTCGATTCTATGACATCAGTCACCTGTTCCAGCGGACGAGCGGCGTGAATGGTCGCGACAAAAGAAGCCAGGCGCTGTGCGGTTGCAGGGCAGCCGGCGCTTCAACTCACGAGCTGAACTCTGCAAGAGCACTGTCCAGCCTCACAAGGCTCCCGTCTGAGGCTGAATAAACATCCATGACGGGCGGGGTGAGATGAGGTATGTATGTAAAGTATGTGTGGCCGATGATGTATCGTGATATCGCGCGACAACGAACGCAATCGGCCGGCAGCATAGATCAACCGGCGGAACACATCTGGGGCATCCGCATCGGGCACCTCCTTCCTTTCACTCTCACGCTGGTTCTCGTCACGCAAGACCTTCTCGCCGAAATCATTAGGACGTAAGCGTGTGGTGGTGATTCTCTATGATACATTAGAGGCACCAGTGTACAACGAGGACTACTGGGGAATGCTCTTTGTTCTCTGAGAATCCCAAAAAGCAAAAAAACTGTGCCAAAACCCAGAATCGAACTGGGGGCTAGGGATTACACGTCGCTAGACGTTCATATTGAATATGAGACCCTCGCTTTAACCGACTAAGCGATTTCAGCTCAGCATGTTTTCAATCTGGAACAGAAGTTTTATATACGTTGGGCAGAGAGGGGGCCAGGTGCAAAAATATCGTGCCAAAACCCAGAATCGAACTGGGGGCTAGGGATTGCACGTCGCTAGACGTTCATACTGAGTATGAGACCCTCGCTTTAACCGACTAAGCGATTTCGGCGGATGCTTTTCGGATTTTGGGCTGCATTATGTATGTTGCTTGTCCATCTGCTCTTTGTCTGCGTGCAGACGTACACCTCTCGAGTTCAACCTAAGAGAGCCGCCGAACTTGCGACCTCAGACAAGCGCCTTGGTCTCCTCTAGTCGATTGGGCCATCGTTCGACAGTCACGCGCCTGAAGAACCTTTACTCTTCAACCCGTAGATGCTCTCATTCCGTTCACCGTTCTGCTTGTCCAACAGACCGGCCATGATCGCTTTGCGCACCAGGTAAAAACGAGTCAGTTGTGGGTCTCCTAGGTTAAGCATAGACGGCAATCGCACAATATCAAACATGGGGACTGCTCCACTGCCCAACGACGGAGCAGCGACGTTCGCATGACATACGTAATGCATATACGGATGACCCGACTACTGTAACCCGGATATCGAATCGAACACAATCGTCTACTTCTTCTTGGTGCTGGTGGAGCCTCTAGGCAGCTCCGCGGTGTAGGGCAAGAAATCCCGACCGTCGAGGTAGGGTTGCAAGGCCTTCGGTATACGGATACCCTGGTTGTCAGCTCGCCCAGTCACGCCAAGCGGCATGTAGCTTACATCGGGAGTTTGGTAGTTCTCAACCAAACAGCAGAGGGCTCGCTCGGTGGCACAAAGAGTTCCGTTGAGCATGTGGACGAAACCGGTCTTCTCGTTCCCCTTCTTGTACCCGAACTTGACGTCCAAAGACCTCGACTCTGGAAATGAGCAATGATCTTTGAGGTTGGGTGCCCAACTCACGGTAGTCGGTACAGTTTGAACAAGAGACCAGCTCCTTGTACTCTCCCTGGTAAGGGAACCAAGCCTCGAGATCGTACTTGATCGAGGCGGCGTTGTTGAGACCACCAGAGACGATGTTGACAACTCGGTAAGGGATCTCGAGGGACTCGTAGAATTCTCGGGAGTTCTCAAGCATCATATCGAGCATCTCGGAGGAGGATTCCGGGTCACAGACGATGAACTGAACGTCAAATTCCGGCTGATATGGGTAAGGTATAACTGACCTGCTCGACCTTCTCGAACTGGTGCACTCGGAAGATACCCCAGGTGTCCTTGCCGTGCGAACCCGCCTCTTTTCGGAAACACGTAGAGTAACCAGCGTACCTGCCTGTAAGCTTGGTCCGGATACGGTAGACGTGACGCTTACTTGAAGGGGAGGGCCTTGGGGTCAATGTTCTCGTTGGCGTGCATCGCTGAGATGGGTTGCTCAGAAGTAGCAATCAAGTACTTGTCGTCTCCGTCACCTTGGATCTGCTTTGTCAGGACACATTACTTTACAAGTCGCAGGACAAACCCCGTAAAGCGCCTCGTCAAACTCGGAGAGCTGAGCTGTTTGCGCCATCATCTCCTTTCGCATCATGAAGGGAGCCTGGATCTTCTTGTATCCCTTCTTTCGAAGGAAAGAAAGACCGTAGTTGATCAAAGCCATGTTGAGGTCGACTCCATCTCCGGTCAAGAAGTATCCACGGTGTCCGGCAATCTTGACTCCTGCATCGTCAGCTTGTCGCTATCGTCAATATGCGATGGCTGACCTCGGTCAGTGTCGTAAGCCTCCAGTCGAGCAAGGACCTCGTGGTGGGAGATGATACCCTCCGCCTTGTCCTCGGGTCCCAATCCGGTTCCAGAGTTTCCCTTGTGGTTCGGCTCCGGGTGCCAGACACGCTTGATAGGGTTGTCGTCCTATGCATCAGCGCCGCCCGAGCGCGGACATCGCAATGGTCGTCCAACACACCTCGGTCAAAGAGACATGGCAGTCCTTGTCGACGATGTTGCCAATGGTGCTAGCCTTTTGGTCTCGAATCTTGAGAAGCTCGGCGGCCTTGGCAGCGAGCTCAGCGATCTCCTTGTCCTTGACAGCCTTCTTCTCGAGCAACTCGGTAGCATCTCCCTTGGCCTTCTTGATCGTTCCGATCTCCTTCTGAAGGAGGTTGAGCTCTCGTCGAGCGCCCTCTTGCTGGTATTGGACTGGGAGCGTCACTTCTGGGCACGACATCGCAAGAAGAGATTGAGACAAAAAGAAGCAATTCTGGCACTCACTCTTCTTGTGCTTGGCGAAGAGCTCAATGACCTCGTCAACGACCTCGACGCTCGCCCCTCGCTTCTTTTGGGACTCTCGGACAACATCCGGGTTTCCACCCTTGTCAGCTTGGACTGAAAATCAGCGGAGCGCCCAGGATACAGGTCACGCAGCTCACAGTGCAGCAAGTCGATCATAGTGCAGGTGAAGTCGGTTACGAGTGGAAAAGTGAAAGGATGATTAACGTCTATGTAAGTGCTGGCTGCAGAAAGTTGAAACCTCAAGCTGGGACATGCCTGACAACGGAGACGCGACTCAGCAAGAAAAATGCCACGTAACGACCATTCGCTTATCACATGCAGGTCTTCTTCACTGACACATCGCTGTGTGCATATATGCATATAAGGTGTATGAGATTGTGAACAGTAACGGCATTCACCATCTAAAGCATGCCCAAAAGAAAGAATGAGAACGCCCGAGGGTTCGGGCTTAGTTTCGCCATCTGTTGTCAGCAAGCGCGCTCACCGGGTCCTAACCAAAGCCACCCACATTTTGACAGTCTTGTCTCGACCTCCGCTGACAATCTTGTCGGCGACAAAGTCCACACAGTACACCTCGTCGGTATGACCCGGGAGGTCGATTCTGATCTTGTACTTCTTGAGATCCCACAGCTTCCAGTCAGCCAGAGTGAAATTGGAGGGACGACTCATGACCCACCTTCAGAGTAGTGTCTTTACTGGCGCTGACCAACATTCTGGAATCGGCAGACCAGGCGACTCGATAGACAGCCGCAACGTGGCCTCTCAAGCTTGCGATGAACCTGATAACATGAGTACGAGCGTATTATGTGAAAATTGACAGACTCACTTTCCAGTCTTTCCTTCCCAAATCTTCACGGCATTGTCAAAGCCTGCACTGGCAACCATTCGTCCATCTGGGGAAAAGGCCACATGGTTGACCTGCTTCTGGTGCCCGGTTAAACGAGCAAGGGGTTTCTTTGGCGTAGCATTGGCAGAGAAAGAGGAAGAAGCTTGGTCTGGCCAAAGGAACAGAGTGTGGTCGTCGGACCCAGTGATGACCGCCTCGGGCTGGTTCGTGATGACGTTCTTGTATCGAGCAAGAGCGAGGGCTTTGGCTGGATGTAAGTTTCAGAGCGTACTCCCAGCAAGGGGGCTTCCAAACTCACCCTCTTCGTCGTCTTTGGGCACTTTGCCCGTATGGTCATAAGGACCAGTGCGCAGGACAAAATCAGTGCTCAGGGCCATAGTGTTGACCCAGTGAGCGTGTTCCGACAAGGTTCGGATGAGCTTTCCCTAATGCGTATCAGCCGAATGTTGTGCTCACACGACGGGTAACTGCTCACATCGACTCCACTCCACACTTTGACGGTTCGATCACTGCTTCCAGTGTAGATGACGTTCTCTCCTCCCCATCTAACGACGTTGACACTGGCCGCGTGACCAGTCAAAACGAACTCGAGCTTTCTTGTCGAGGTGTTCCATATTCTGACGGTTCCGTCTTTCGAGGCGGAAGCGAGTCGGGGGGAGTAGGTCTTGGAAGTGACGAGGTGGAGAGGCTCAAAGGCAAGAGACGTGACCCATTTGGAATGTCCGGTCAATTGTTGACCCAACGGCTGGCCGGTCTTCGGATCCCACAAACGGACCTGAAGGGTGAGATCATGAAGCCTGGGTCGGGTGGAAAAGACTCACTTGTCCATCGTGTCCACCTGTAGCCAAAACTTTCTCTCTAGCATCCCACTCTACACACAAGACCCAACCCTTGTGTCCAGACAAGGTCCACTGCAGAGTTAGTATCCGAGTCTGTCGTATGGTCACAACGAGCACAAACCTTTGGCGTTTCCGTCTCCATGTCCCAGACTCGGCAAGTCGCGTCTCCCGAGCCAGTCGCGGCGTATCTGCCTGTGGGAGACTGGGCACAACAGAGGATAGGGGAAGCGTGGCCTGAAGATCAACGCGCTGCGTTGACTGAACATGCGACCAACTCACCACTCAATGTAGCGCTGCATCTGCCGACACTTCGGACCCTGAACACCGCTTGGGGCTCACACCAGAGCTCGAAGACGTCTTCCGGGGAAAAGGTAGGAGCTGTAGAGGTCGAAGCAGGAGGTGCGAGCGCGTCGGTCAAGATAGACGAGTTGATCTGGACTCGAGCAGGTACAGTGGTAGGGGCCGAGGCGTCGGCCTTCGGGACGAGGTGGAACGAGTAAGGCAGAGGGTCTTCGCTCTGTTTGTGAGCTTTGAGTCACTATATCAAAGAATATAGCTTACCTCTCCTTTAAGTTTGTTGACGAGCATCTGCAGGGCATCGCGGGCTGTGTCCGCAGGCAAGTTGATAGCTGGGCCGAGATTGGCACCATCCTCGGCGTTCTTGAACTGAACAACGATAGAAGGGACGGGAGCAGCGGGAGGAGGCGCTGGGTCCGGGTTGATCCTTTGAGAGTAGGCGGACCGTTGTCTCTTGGGGGGAGGGAGGAGGGTGGACATGGCGAGATGATCTGTTGCGCAGTTGCAAACCTCTAGACAACAAACGGGTTGGTTGGATATGGGTGGACCGCAAAATAGTGAACCGAGTGGAGGTTAGGATGACCTGGGATAAAAGGATTAAATGAATGAGAAACAAATCAATTGCGTATAGAATGGCCACCCAGCCCAGGCTATCTCTCGATCGGACAACCGACATCAGCGCCCGAGACGCAGTTCGAGTTGGAAATAATCTAAGACCCATACCTCATTCTCATCGACTTGCATACCTTCATCTCAAAACAAGGTCTATTCAAACGATGAACCCCATTAGACCGCTTCTCCGATCTGCGGTCTTCAGCCGCGCCGCCGCCGGCTCCACCTTCCGCCATGTCGCCCGCCGCACGTTAGTCACCCCGACTTCGCCTGCTCAGGCCAAAGTATCGGAGGTTTCCGTGGAGCAGCGGGT